GCGGTTATTTTTCTTAGTGTTTTCCTACAATCAAATATACACACCACAAAAATCTATACGGCTATGCGTGTAATCGCAACATTCTCTTATTTCACATAATTGATATACTTACATGAATATGATTATCGGCACCTTCCGACAGTTCTGTTATTTTAATAGTCACGGAGAAAACTGGTAGCACTTAAGAGTGATAATACTTTAAAATGGTACAGAATATTTACTGCTCTATCTTAATATAACTATTTCTGTTGTAGCAGTCGTAAATTCGCACTTGGTGCAGATTACAAGTGAACAGCAGACGACGTCAACGTGAACAACGTGAACAAGCACAGCGAGGAACAAATGGTAACTGTCATCGGAATAACGCAACTTGAAGGGGAAGGGGGAAAAATTGATAGATAATATATGCTACTTCAGTCGCCAGAAACATGCTTCATTCAAGCCACACGTTATAAAACTGAGTTCAAGGAGACAAGTCGAAAATTACAACTTCGTACAATTGTCTTATGGTCAATTTAAACAGAGAAATGTTTAAAGAATTCCACAGCTGCCAAATTATACTCCAAAATGAACCTGCTAATCGAAGACATTGGAATATCTTCTTCTTTAAGCTCCTTATTACCTTTATTGGCTAGTACTGGATACGTCAGCAGGCGAGCCGGCGTAAAGTATCGACTGTACGCATTACAATTAAAATATTTAGTGTTAAAGTAACAATACTGATATGCATATTCTTTAACATACTTTTAAAGCTTCAAGGCGTAATAAAATATCCGTAATTTCTTATAGAAATATGCACATTTTATTACAATATCAAGATGTATCATTGATTTATGAACCAATACAGTTAGTTACATAACGCCCCAACAAAGAACAGTGTTACTATCCATATAACTGACTTTCTACACGGAATTCGTTTGTTTGTAATGGGTTATTTTAACACTCTTACCTTTCCGTTAAAATACTGTAAACATACACCATTTTACTTCTGGTATTACTAAATCTTCCACCAGATAGCGGTATAGACATTACCAGTCTCGCCTTTGAGTCGAGGCTTTTGCGATAGTCGTGGTTGTCTGTGTGGTTGTATGATTTTACATAGCGAAATTCTCGTCTCTAAAGCTTCTAGTGAGGCTTCTACTTCCCTTCCAAGGTACGTGACTCGTACGACAAATTGCGTGTGTCCTTCAGTAAGAATTGTATATAATGATTCTGTGCCGGTGCAAATTAAATTTTTTATGCGTTACCCAGACTCAGTCAAAGCTATTACAAATTGCCAGCCCTACAAACCTTTTGTTGCTACTACCTTATCTAATGCACATATACGCCATAAATTTATAATTATATACTGGTCTTCATTTTTGCGTTGTCTGTGTTAGGTGTCTTGGATATAACCTCAAAATTTCTCACCACTTTGCTTGTAAATGTTGATAGATGAAATATTTGTAGGTTATAATACGGTATGTTTACTCTTACAGTTCTGTGGTATGGGCCGGACAGGTAGGAAGAACCTGTAGTGCTTATTCTGCAAGTTTGCTCTGTGACGAAGTATTTGTGCAGCAAACATATATTGGAAAGTGATTACATAACACCTGAAAGGTACACTTGATCCATCTGGTAGTTCTGTATGGCTCACATTCAGCTTTGCAGTCAGCCCATCAACATTTTATCTCATCATTACATAGCAAAGAAATGGGCAATGAGAATGAATTAAGTAAATGTTCCCAAGTATAATTCTCAGAACATAGTTGTGATCAACAAACCATCAGCAAAATAATGTGTCATTTTATACTTTGAACAAATATGACAGTCATGTATCTCTTATTATCTTTTCCAGGAGGTCTTGGTGGCAAATACCTGGCTGCAGTTGGGTTTTGTCAAGGAGATTGATAATCTCTTTGATGGTTTCAGTGGTGCAACACATGTTGGCCCAGGAAAGACACTGAATTGCTTGCTTAGTGATGACAGCCATCATATAGGTTACTGGAACAAAGCAGTATGTGGTTAAGTAGATGGATCTTGTTCAGGGATAATAAAGCCTCCTTTTATCACCCCCTTCCTTCACAGATTGGGTGTCTCACATTATTGCAGCCCCACATGTGTGGAGGACAGTGAGAGGG